TAAACCCTTAACCCTACACCCTTCAAACCGGCCTCGCAGTAGCCGCGCCCTCTGCAAGGTCTTCGGCAGCGGCGTCAAAAGACCCCGCCGCCGTGGCGTAGCCGCAAAGCCCTGAACAGAGCCAAAGAAGCGCATAGTATAAAATGTTAGTTTAGGGTTTAGGGTTCTATAGCATCATAAACTATAATGTGAAGCACTTGTGTAAAAGATTATGGTTCGTCATACTAATCGAATATAGTATCATATTGCAAAATGGAGTGTAGCATAGGGGCAGAAGGGCTCAGGTTTTGAGTGTAAAACCTTAGTGGGAATCACGAGGACGGGTCATGGAGAAGACATCTGAAATCAGCCACTATAATTTCTGGGGTTCCGCAAATGCTTAATGGCAGTTACCTATCAGCTCTTTGAGAGCATGGAGCTATGGACTCTACCTTCTAATGTACTTTCCGACATGAGATCCTACCAGCCTACTAGGTTGCTGCAATGCCATCACCGAGAACAAGGCTCTCCCCAATCAAGCCAGCAGGAAGATTCCATGGAAGGATGTCCCATAACCAACTACATCCTGCAAAGCCCCGAAAAACGATCATAGACACCCCTGCCCTTTGCAGAGAGCATTCCGCACACTCACAGCTTACTTTGATACCCGTGCTGTCGATGTTTTTTGTAGACCCAGTTGCACACTGACACCGCATGTTGAACGAAGCGCCTGGGTGCGCGCAAGCTGGTGCGACGGCGAGGCCCCAGCATCCGATTCCACGCTCATCGGGGAAAGAGCACGCAGGTGAGCAGCTCTCAAACGAACATCCAGTTTGATTAGTTTAGATTTTCTGGTGCAGGGTTTTAGAGGCTTGGAGGTGGAGGGTGGGAATGGCCGTGATGCTGGAGCGTTCCTTCCAAGCTGTGGCTGACGAGAGCAGCAAAGGCTCCCGTTGATTCGGACCTCAATTAAATGAATTTGAGACCCATTTACAGACACTGCGAGTTTCTCAAACCATGAACTTCTTTTTTGTGTGTCTCTACCAGAATGGCCTTGCGATTTTTGGGCTAGTGGGCACTTAAGTCCGTCTACGCCATCAGAGGCACACTTTGCAAAGCTTGAGCCCACGGCGCGTGTCCGCACACCAACCCAGAGAAGCCCCATTAGTCGAAGTCCAAAAAGCTAGGTGATCGCTGGGCCAATGATGAGACGTTGATTCAGCATTTACTTGCTGAGTATTGCTGGTAGGGAATGGAGGAGTTGAACCCTATAGCAGCCCCTATATAACCTGCAGGGGTAGTTTTCATTCTTGCTCATTCCTTTATTCCCCACTGAAAACCAGCAAGTTAAGAGTGCCTGTTCTTCACAGGAGGAAATGCTTACCAAAGCATTTGAGCTATAGAGAAATCTCCGATCATCTCCCTTAATAACCCCATAGTACTCCCCTATATAATCCCCCAGGGTTTAGACAATAGCACATATGCAGTTGCACCTGCGAAGTCATGATTCCTTACTGCGGATTCCGTATAGACTCGTTGAAGCTCGGGAGTCTTGATGATTGGCTTGCAGTTGATGGCTTATACGGGCTATAATCTAAACTCCTTTCAGGGTTATGTAGGGGAACTATGGCTCATGTACAATTCAAAATCTAGAGCGGCATCAACATGAATACTGTAAATGATGAGCTGTGGTTGAAGCTTGCCTTAGACTCCCCTGAGATCCGCTACAACCTGGGTTGCTGGACAAAAAGGAATCAAAACCTGAACTGAACCTGGCCAATACCTTACTGCTTCTTTGCACGGAATAAGGGACTAAAATCCCCACATGAGGTACCATACATTCCTATATTTCCTGCTAAGAACCAGCAAGATACAGGCGACAAGGACTCCCCCAGGCATCCACCTCGTACTCTTCGCGAAGCTGAACCACCTGCCAAAGCACAGCCCCTGAATTCCCCAAGACATAGTCTCTATCATTAAGGGGCCAAAAACAGTGAGACCCTAAACCCCAAACCTTGTACCGGGGTAGGTTCGGGGTACCTATGTAAATTAGATTTTGAAGGCTTTATAAAGATATGAGGGGTTACATAGGAAGCAAGGGTATCAAAATTGAAGATGATTTTCACACCTACCCCTGCATAGAGGTAGCTGGAGCTACATGAGAGCCCATTCTGAGCAATAGTCAAAACTCCTAGTATCCCCCTTAGTAACCCCTAGAGCTGTCCCCGATTTAATCGCTTATAGCCCCTTTTAATCGCTTATAGCCCCTTTTAAGGAGTTTAGACCCCAAACCCTAAACCTTAAATCATAAGTCCTAAACCCTAAATCCTAAACCCTAAACCCTATCTAATCCCCTTCAAGGAGTTGAGACTATGGCTCAAAGGCTGGTGGATCCTTTGCCTCATCTACCTTCATCCCATACCTCTGCCATATCATCTAGCCAGCCCCGCACCATGTCATCTAACCTTAATGTGGAGGCTTGGGGCCCTAAACCCCAAACCCCTAAACTCTACACCCTAAACCCCTAAACCCTGAACCCTAAAACCCTAAACCCCTTTACCCCAAATCCCTGAACCCTTAACCCTAAACCCCTAAAGGCTTCATGCCGGGGCTATGGTCATAGTCACTGGAAGACAACATAGTCAAGACAAAGCACTGGGAGTGATAGTCTAGGGCTTAGTGTTTAGGCTTTTAGGGATTAGGGTTTTAGGGTTTTGGGGTTTAGGGCTTAGGAATTTAGATCTCTGCGGTAACATCCTTGCAGGAGGTGGCTCCAAGGGGGTACCCAACTTCAATCCCAAAATTAAGGGTACGTTTTTGGGAAACCCCATAATTAACAAGGACTATAGTATATTAGCGTCTATATTGGGGTGCCTTGATTTTGGGGAAGTACCATACGTGGACAACCATCCTCATTCTCCTCCCACATTCCCATGGTGTCCTTCACTAAGTGGCATCCGAGTATGTCACCCCGCACCCTAAACAACTTTTTGGGCGCCGGGCCCCGTGAAACGAAAATTCCCCTAAATTCCTAAACCCCTAAACTCTACACCCTAAACCCCTAAACCCCTAAACCCTAAAACCCTGAACCCCTAAACCCCTAAACTCTAAACCCCTAAACCCCTAAAGCGCTAAAACCCTAAACACCTACATTGCTAAAACCCTAAACCCTAATCACCCAGTGAGGGCGCAGCCTGGTTCGGGTCCGGCCCGCGCCGGAGCTCAGTGGGCTCCTCCATGGGAGTGGGAAGCGCAGGCGCGGCCTCGCGACTCGTTTGAACCATGTGGGTACATCTCACAAAAAGGGAGGCCTTAGGGACCGCACGGACATATGGATATGGGTTTATATATATATATATATTTATTTATTTATATGTATATACATATATATATATACATACACGGAACGAGGGAACGCTGCTCACAGGCGTGAACTGCGGCATCATACAATGGTTGAGAGGATGATTCAATTTTTGAAGGCAAATTATTGCACTGCATGCCCTCTCAAGACCCAACCAAATAACACATGTTATCTATAACATGCCGGGCGATGTCCAAATGCAAGTTTTGCTTCCAAACGAAGATTGAAAGCATTGAGGCGAGCAAGATGACTGCAGCGCTGCCACCGTGATGGACACAGCATGATCCACATATCATATTAGAAAGCGCCGCGTCTGTCAGAAGCATGCATACATATAATATGAGGTACACACATACATGTATTCTTCCATGTCACATGTCGGAATCCTTGGCAAGAAGCAACCACAGCAGGGTAGATTGTTACACGTCACAACAAAAATGATCCACTATAGTAGTTTCCATTTTCTTTTCCATCATCCCCATAGAACCCCTAGAATTACAAAACCCTATATACCCCTTTTTAACCCCTATAAAACCCTACATACCCCTATATAACCCCTGCATAACCCATTATGCAGATTTGCAGACCCCCTGCAAGCCTCTTCCGGTAGCCCGTGTCCGTTGGCCTGTGCTGGGCTGCACCAAAAAGGCACCAGATGGCGCTTGAGGCTTTCGTGGATCCAAGAAGAAGGAGGCCCCAATACTCTATGTCATGGTCTCATAGCAACACCCTGGCTGTAACGCTCCATGACGAGAAAAAAAGAGCCTCCCAAGAAGGGAAGCTAACTCACGCCGAGCTTGACATCTCTCGAAACCTTAGGGTCCTTTTGAGCTACAGTCAATAATTCCTACATAGTTTTAAAAACATCGGTGCCTTAGTAGGGAATACATTAGGGACTATACTAAACTACAAGAGGGACCCCCATGTCCACTGCTAAGGGTCGCTTAATAATGCTAATATTGACAGTAGCTCATTTGGAAAAGACCTGTCAGTTGGAAAAGACTTGTCAGTTGTAGCATTGGCCGGAACAACACAACTTCCCGAACCGTTCACCTGCATCCCAGCCCTGCTAGTAAGCACCTTTGCTTTCTCTTCTTTCATGCGGGGCTGGATACTTGGAGGGTCAGGGAAACTTGATAAGTATACTTGTATCCCTATAAGACGTATGATAACCCCGGATATCCCGATTACTAAGCTACTTACTAAGTCCACATGACACCCCAGCAGCTTTAGAGCAACTTGCACATGCACGCGGCGAAGGGCGGTTCTAAGCGCCATGGTCGATCCACATGGCAGCCACATCTTCAATTGGGCTGCTGTGAAGGATTCTTTTACTACCATATTAAGTGGAGCGGAGTGGAGTGGAGGATTGACCGAAGCAGTAGCCTGGCCTAGCAGTGGACGTCACCTCCGGCCCATAGGCTTAACGTGCCAGTCCAACACATCAACACACACAACAGCAACCAACACTAGCGACAATGGATCAAAATGGACGAACGAACTGGGTGGAGACCATGGTTCTTCCGAGCCGAACGCCACACCCACACAAAACAAAGACGTGGAAGGCATCATCCAGCACAGAACCTGTCGAGTAGGCTGGCGCGGCCAGTGGTGCCAATAGTTCCAAAGACCGTGTCCTGTTGTGCGTCTGACAATGCCGGAACTCATTTGGTTGTGCGAGACATTGTGCGCAAGCTCGGGGCACAGAGAAAATGCGTGGCTGGTCGCCGCAAATCCCCAACGACATCAAGGCGGCTAACAACTGCTTGGG